AAATCTTATAAGATTCTTATAAGACACTTACGACTGTCGATGGGAAATCTTAAACAATCTTATATAAGAAACCGATAAGATTCTTATAAGAATCCTATCAGTTTTAGCAAAAAATTCTTGTCTAGGGTGAAAGAAACAAGCACACTAAAAGATCAGAATTTTAAACTATATGCAACAAGAGCGTCTTCAGGTCAATATTAGCTACAGTCACGTTATAAATAAACCCAACTTTGGCGAGAAATATAATCGGAAATGCACTTTCATGCACTTTCGTTGCGATACAAAATGCATTTGATTGAATGAACGATTTCAAGAAGCTCAGGTACAAATTAAGATTTCCAAACCAGTTTCCATTATTTCGATTGACAAGAACGTTTCATAAATACTTTTTGTTCTTCAACAGATTCAGTGGGACGAGATGGGGCGCCAAACCCTATAACTTTGGGGGGCATACAGTTCAGAAAACAAACACATCACGATATCTGTAACTCGACGAGCTCTACAACATACATCAAAATGAGGGGGTTGCCGTGTCCTGTTTGGATACACTTTCTTTACTTATTATCCGATACCATCGGTTCCCGCAGCTAAACCTCGTAGTATAGAAAGAAAATTTTTTGCGCCTAATGTATATTTTGTCGTACAGTAGCTCCCTCTATGGAGTCTAACTGTTTAGTATTAAATTCTATAGAACTCTGCATGTTTAAGAATATTATTTGACTTCGTGTTAGTTTTCTTGCATGCAATTGCATCTATGTTTATGCTATACTGATTCTTTTTTTTGCCTTTCGCGTCCATGAAATACCTATCGACCATTTTTCTATGTTTTTTAGACAGAGAAATAAGACAACACCACACACAATTGATCTTAATCTGTTCTATTCGTTGCAGTCATCATCACGGAAAAAACGAAAAACTCTTTATCGCCTGCCTGTTATATTTCTCGCCAAAGTTGGGTTTATTTATAACGTGACTGTAGCTAATATTGACCTGAAGACGCTCTTGTTGCATATAGTTTAAAATTCTAGTCTTTTAGTGTGCTTGTTTCTTTTGTGCACTTTCGTTGCGATACAAAATGCATTTGATTGAATGAATGGTTTAAAGAAGCTCAGGTACAAATTAAGATTTCCAAACCCGTTTCCATTATTTGGATTCTTAAGTACTACTACTATTATTAAGGTATTCCACATTGGTTAAGTTAAAATTACTCACAAAAATTGAAGATCTACGGTCTATAAACACGATGGCTCCTCCTAGACAAGTAAATTTAAAATAGTATAAATATTTTACAGATATCTTCGTAATGATAACATAAATTCAAATAATGGAAACTGATTCCGAAGTCTTAATTTGAACCAGAATTCCTCATAAGGCTCCATTGAATAAATTTCATTTTCTAACGTAAGAATAGTGCGCGAAAAAGCTTTGTTTTCACCAAACAACCGACTTTCTTACTCATTTTGTAATGTGCTTATTGCCTGGTCTGTTTTCAGCCGGGTTTCAGGTTATGTGAAATGTATCCTCGTCTTTTTCTAGACTAACCCAAAGCTAATCCATGTCGTCGGAACGTTCTATTTCGCCAGATCCCATTGTTGAGCGCCCTGGTAAATCAAGATCAAGTGGTGGTTATCGTGGCGAAAATGCTGATGCTGGCATATCTCAAGTGAGTAGCGCAGGTGCTTCGCAAGTTGTACAATCAGCTCGTCCACCGAAACGTTATCGTGAAATGAGTGGTAGTCGAAGTGGCTCAAGAAGTATGACCAGAAGTCGTTCGCCGAGTTTGAGTCGTAGCGGCGGCTCCCGATCACCGCATTCAGTCTCGCCCGATCATTTGAAGTCGAATGCAGGTGGTAATGGACCTGCAGGCGACGGAAGATCGAAGCATCGACAAGAACACAGTTCATCATCGAAAAAGAAAAAATCGAAACGTCGCAGTGGTAGCACGGAACTGGACCGATACGATTGTGGTATCTGTTTAGGTATGCATTTGATTGAACGTGAGCAGTCTGTATTTGTGTGTTTATATGTTTACTAGAAAATGTTCCGAATTCAAAACGTTTATTTGGCGTACTGGACAATTGTGATCATGTATTTTGCTATGAGTGTATTGTCGGTTGGAAACGATCAAAATACAGTAACCAAGAGTCGGCTAGGTACGTGGTTCCTCTTCTAGAGGGGGAATATCATTTTTTGTTCGTTCGGACAATGTAACTTGGATTTAGTAGCTGCCCGGTGTGTAAAACCCGATCATCGTTCATAACACCCAGTAAACATTGGTTTGACAATAAAGATGACAAATACAAAATCGTGAAAAAACATAAAAATCATCTCAAGTAAGTGTCGTGTCGTTCAGGTTAGTATTATCCGTATGTGTAAAAAGAATCATAGTCCCTATTAAGCCTATTTTTTTCTATTTAGTTTCATTTTTCATTTATTTCATCTCTCCTATTTGTAGGATATACACATACGAGTGGACTTCAGTGTGCTCTATGTGTTTAAAATTGATTACTTACCCTATATAAAGATTAAGCGGCCGGTGCAGCTTAGCCAAAATAGAGTTACTAATGTGTTATGTACGGAATTACATTAGGCATATTGTGAACACGCATTATTTTACGTGTTTTGTTTATATGACAAGTTTCAACTGAAATTTTTACTATGATGAATGTATGGGAGAACACATTAATTGATATATATATGTATATATATTGATTAGAGAAACAATGTGCAAATTCTCTTGATATACCTTTTATTAGCTGAGCTATCGAGACGAAAAAGATTGAGTCAAAAACATAATCAGAAAATTTGCACATATACATACAAATTTAATGGATGAAAGTTAATCACTGGCACACTTATTCACTACTGTTTTTTTATAAGCATCCATATCGATTTAAAGTGGTGCTAGTCTTATTACTGATTAATTAATTATAGAGGGCTCATTATTTCGTGTAAGTAGCTGAATGAATTACACAAGATCTTGGCTTTAAAGTGTCAGTACGTCGGTATGATCTAATATGATTCTTATTTGTTTGTTTCCTCTAGATCGTTGCCATGTCGATATTATCTTCGTCATGGGTTTTGTCGTTTTTCTGATCGTTGTTTCTATGATCATCGTGAAGCTGCACGTCAATATCGTCAACAACATGGGTCTGGTGGAGGAAGTAGCGGTGGAAGTAGTCATCATGAATATCATCGTTCTCATTATTATTCTCAACGTTCACCATCACCTTCACGTGAATATCGACGTCGAGAACATCGTGAAAGAGCATATTAAGACTACAGCAACAAACATTTTCCTATTAACTAAATGGTTTGCGTTTTGAAAATTTCAAGCAAACACATATTTGTATACGGTTGTTTATGTGGTTTTGATTAAACTCTCAGTTGAATGTTTAATCTAGATGTGTACAACAATCATATTTTTTTTTCTTTTTTGCTCTCTTGCATTGAGTATATCTGTATGTATATGTATTCTTGTGTACTGAAATAAAACAAAATGTTATAATATAACAAAAAATAGAAGCAAGTGGTTCAATTTACTCATACTAAAGGTGCAACCACACGAAGTGCTCACTTTCCGTGAATTATTATATAAACATCATATCTATTCAGCTGTTATTGGTAAGAACAAATATAGGACCGTGAGGCATGGCAAAATGAGTCAGAATTGCACGAATGATGTGACAGGAACAAATAGTAGTATAATCAATCAACGCTTTCAAAAGTAAAAAAACCATCATGGGATGCTTGTCAAAGATGTCGAATGTGAAGACGTTCTGTTTGTTGTCAAAGTAGGCCTGTTTGGTCCAAAGCTCTTTGTTCATTCGAATTGTATTCAAAATTGTTGATCAACATAAGCTTCATTAACCCTTTATAGCTGATGACATAAAGCAAACTTGAGACTATTGTACCTTTGTCTAGATCGACTGAAAAAATAATCCATTTTTTGATCTGACGCATCGTCACCTTGCTACAGCGATTCTACGATATCCACTAATGTCCATCCCAGTGGACATAGGATCTTAAAGAACTAATATTTCTTTCATTGAGCGCTAATGTCAACGTAAATTATACTTACAATAATTACATTTTTCGAGTCTAGAAAGTCATCTCAACAGTTTGCCTTTCGAGTGCGTTTTGAAGCTGTACAAATCCGTCATTGAATTCGAATACTGAAACCCTTGATTTTGTAGTCCGAAAAAACTTTAGTTTCGAAACAATGTATTTTTATACTGTATGCTATCGAATGGTTGATCCGAGACACCAAGGTATAAGTAACTCGCCCAACTTGTGCCATTCGAACACAGCACGTTTGAAGTACGTGACGGCTGCAATAACTACCAAACCTTGCTGTCTCGCCCACCGACTGATGATATGTGATGCGCATCGATTCGATTTTTGCCAATAATTTCTTCAGTCGCCTTTTCATTTCCTGAGAGGGTATTCTGTATAAGATATATGGCTATTTTAGATATTTTTCATTTAAGATTTTCCTTGAACTGAGAGAAGTGTCGTATAAATGTATAAAAGATCTCTTCTATTTATTTCTGATTTATATTTTTTTAAAACTAATTAATTGAAAAAGAAATTCGATAAATATTGGCATCACATTCATATCTGATATAGTTTTTGGTTTACTTGTTTAATTTCTTCTTTAACCTTGAGAATATCTGGATGGGTTGGTTCAAGTAATTGTTGCCATATTCTCAATGCTTGATTATAATTAAACAAAGCCGACTGGTACTGATGACACAATTCGTACACAATTGCTATATTTCGATAAGTTTTTCCAGTATCACGCTGCTTTGGTATAGTTTTCAACCGTATATCTAAAGTCTTTTGGTAATTGACTAAGGCCGATTGATAGTCTCCGATTTCACAGCAAACGTTCCCGATTGTGGAGTAGGAAACAGCTATTCCTGGGTGATTTTCAGGTAATAATGCTCGGCGAATGCTTAATGACTTAGAAAGATGTTGACAAGCAAGATCATATTGAGCTTTTTTACGGTATAATTCGCCAATGTTGTTGTAGATAGTTGCCGTTGTTAGATCCTGTGAACCGGACACTATATCGAGAGCCTTTAAATAATTCTTAAGAGCTAAATCTAGCTCGTTATTTTTTGTATACACCACACCAATATTAACATAACTAAATGCTATTATTTTATCTTTTGGTGATAACGTTTTTTTACGTATTTCAAGAGCTTTTGTATGCATGTTAATCGCTTGGTCGAATTGAGATCGATCATCAGCTATATTTCCTAGTCCTTCGTAACATGTCGCTAAATCTGGATCATCATCTTCAAGTTCATCTAACAATCGAGTATAATACATTTCAGCTTTGTAATGGTTTCCTACTTTCCACAACAGTTTTCCTAGCGATAAAAGACCAGTTTCTTCCCCCATTTCATTCTTCATATATGCATATACAAAACGTAAATCGTGATCGTCGTCATTGCACAATTCAAGTCGCACTATCCAAAAATTATTTTGTTTATCATATACAACGTTTTGTATACGAAATATGGATCCAAAACAAAAACATATTTCTTGTTCATCTTGAAAAAAACTTAGTTGGGTAATATTAGCAAACGGTTTTGCTTTTATTCGTCTATCAGCTTTTATTTCGAATAGTACTAGTTGTAATAGATCAGTTAAATTCGCCAAACGAAGAAAGCTAACAGCAGTTTCTCGTTGTAAACTTGTAGAAAAAAAACTGCTCATTGAAATGAGCTCACCAATGCTTGTTTTCATATGATTTAATTCATCGATTGAAATTGCTTGTCCTCTATAAACATGAATAACTGGCTCAAGCTGAACAGTCTCACTTTGAGTCTGTTTTAGTTGTTTATACATATCAGTAATTAGAAAACGATAGGCAAATAATATGTCAATATCTTGAACTCTAAATCCTTTATTTAATAGACGAAATAAAAAACACTCTCGAGTATACCACCAAATTGCTTTTGATGGTTTGTAGTTTTTATCAAATTCTTCTATTATATCTAGTTCTTGTTCATTTCCTTTATAAATTTCTTTACCTAACAGCACAAGTTCTGTTTTTGATACGGCCGATTGTTCGAGTCGAATTAAAACATCTATAAATAATTGAAACCACATAAAATTGGCATTCTCAGATTTTAGATCTGTATATGTTGCTTCTTCTCGCTTAAATATTGTCATTGCGAGAGGTTCTTCAATTTTTTCACGACGTTTCTGATCTTGAATAATGTTTGAAACTAATTCATTCAGCTGGGTTACCACACTTCGAACCTCAATAGAAATTTTAAAATTTGCTTCAAAATCTACTTTACTATAATGGTGTACAACTTACTTTTATATAGTCTTTTGCCCATTTCTCATTGTTTATTTTATCCATACAATAAACGTAGATAGCACTCAATTGTGTTAAATCATGAATTTTCGGTACTAGTTGTCTTCCAACACTACCACTAACAATTAAGATAATTTTCTCATCTTTTATTTTTTGAATATACTGTTCGCATTCGTCTATCTTCTCAAATATTTTTAAAAAATTAATTTTTGCTCTTAATCTTTTCTGTGTAGTCAAATTGTCTTCTGTTTTATTCGCATTTTCATCTATCCATATTAGTGAAAATGTTTCCAAATTTTTTGATTTTCTACTTTTTACCCTAATTATTGACGAAAATTTTGTCATGCCACTACCGAATTGACTTTGTCTGGTGCCCATTATTTTAGAAAATTGAACTAAAAAAAGAAATATGATATAGCATAACCTTTTAGTTATTCTCACTTTGGCAAGTGCGTGTGCAACTGTTACTATTTCAGAGCATTGGAAAAGAGAATATACTCTGTTCAGCTAGAAAGTGCAAAAGCATTTTTTCCATACAAATATCTGAAGAATGTATAATCGAAAAACCGTAGGTATTTATATAAATATATAAACTGTTAATGTTAATGTGATTTTTATTCGAAAATGAATAACATATTTACGTTCGCAGAGAAAAAAGAATATATCCCATTTATACATGTGAAAAGCATTTGATCTTCACAAAGTCTCTCTCTCTCTCTCCCCCTTTCTTAATTTGAATGGTTTCGAGCAAATTATAAATGAAGAATCGTTTCTTCGCGATTATTTGTTTTTTTGGTATTAAGGGTTTCTCGTATTTGTCAACCCAGTCAATCACTCATGTGGGCTGATTGCGCTGGTATTATACGGTTTGACTAAAAAAAGTCAACAAAATAAATTTGCTTGAAAATTTTTTTCTTTAGTCGGACTATATACTAGTATCATCAGGGATCACGAAATAAAAATAGCCGATAGGCCTCCAGAGATCGGTTTTCCAGAAATTCCAGAAAAACACCAAGACATTTCTTAATGAGGCATAATTGTAGCCCGCACATTGCTGATTAAAATGAGACCTCTCCTTTCCCAGCTCTACACGACCTTTCTTTGCAAAGTTATAGAATTTACAAGAAATGCGCTAAAAGTTCGTTGTCAGCTTAAAGCTACAGAAATAAGCGGAAAGTAATTTAGAGCTCTTCTTGTAAATTCTATAACTTTGCAAAGAAAGATCGTGTAGAGCTGAGAGAGGTCTTATTTTAATCAGAAATGTGCGGGCTACAATTATGCCTCATTAAGAAATGTCTTGGTGTTTTTCTGGAATTTCTGGAAAACCGATCTCTGGAGGCCTATCGGCCCGTCTCATGTTGATATTCGGAATCAGTATGGTGGATTGTCTATAGTCAAATTTCAGCGAAATTCCGTGTTGCATGACGGAGAAAACGCACAAATAAAATTTAAAGGTTTTGGACAGGAGACTCTCCAACGAAAGGCTCATTTTTTCCGAAAGAAAGAAATTTCTAAGGAAGTTTATTTTGTTGACTTTTTTAGTCAAATCGTACAATACTAGCGCAATTAGTCCATATATCTAAAAACCTTCCAGGGTTCGAAGTGAAAGTCAAATGTTCAATAATTTGGGAAATAAAATATTTAATAATATTTAATAATTCAATAAAATATTTTTCAAAAACTCGCGGGATATTTAATGTGAAAATAGCCATTTTTAAAAATGTTTTGCTCTTCTCTAACGAAAGACATAATTAAATTAATTTCTTTTTTTATCAATATGGTACTCTAACTGTCAGCTATCTTTTCCATGTTTTCGATAAGGTCTAAGTCAAGTCTGGGCTAAGCTACATCACGCTGATCCTCGCGGGACAAAAAAGCACTGTTTAATCCGCGACACCATCGTTAGTGTGAATTTACCTAGAAATGTTGTATGAATTTGGAACTCATTCACATGTTTTAAAAGTAGCATGTGTTTACTGCAATTTATTTGCAAAGAACAAGTTGAGATGTTATTTTATTTAAATAAAAAATTGATTTTATTGTCGCTAGGTGTCAGTTAAAATCGTGGTTTTTCATATTGAACTGCTAATAACTCGATAACCACTCGTAACTTTAAGTTAATTTTTTCAGTGGTAGTGAGCATAGTTTAGATAAATAACATATAAAAATTTCGCTAAAATTCATTCACTAACAAAAAAGTTATAGCTTTTTTACATGTCGGATATGAACGATACAATGGCAGCGCAAATCGCTCATATACTTCTTTTCTTTGCAGAAGATTGCAACAACATTTTGACTAATTGATCCCGCAGTTCATGACCAATATATAATCAGATTCTTTTGTACCAAATAGCTTAATGGGAGTCTGAACCTTTGATTAATGCAATTTCGGAGCTCTGATGCAAAAAAGATTTAAATTTCAAAATATGATTAGTTTTAATTGCTTCACTGTATCGTGTATTATAACACGTAAAAAAACTCTTAGTAGTACGATACCCTCCAAAAACTGTATTCAGAGAAAACATGGGTTCGAAACCGATATTGGAACTTATTTTTAATGAAAATATACTCCAAAGTTTTGTCGACTTGAATATGGATAACTACACCTGTCTGTTGCTTTTTTCAGGAAGTTATTCAAAAAACAGCCAAATGTGTGCATTTCTCAAGGGGGAAACAGCTGATTTTGGGATTTATCCGATTTTCACTGATTTTCATCGTTTTTCATTGATTTTCACTGATTTTCGTAGATTTTCACTGATTTTCAGCGATTTTCGTTGATTTTCACGGATTTTCAGCGATTTTTTCCGATTTCTTATGATTTGTTTGGGAAATCAAGTAAAAAGACTGCGATAAATAGTGCAGAACCTCCTTTATTTGTATAAAATAGTAATTAGACATAGTGAAAGTAAAGAAAAAAAAGATAAAATCATGAGCGATTTTTAACAATATTTAGCGATTTTTAAGGATTTTTTAGGATTTTAACCGACTTTTAATGATTTTTTGCGATTTTAACCGATTTTCGATTTAAACTGATTTTTCAAGCTCAAAAATCAGCTGTTTCCCCCTTGGCATTTCTTCTAAGACAACAAGTCTATAAAATTCTATTCCATATACAGTGAAGATATAGCAAACTTACAGTGTGTTTCACAGCGAAGAAAATGAATGAACATAGAGTTCCACTGATGTAAAAATCTATAATGATTTTTTTATTACCTTTTTTTATTACCTCGAATCACTTATTTGTAAAGGTAAATACGATATTTTACTATTGTACGCATTTTTTTAAGTAAAGTTTACTGAAAGAGAAATAAATGAATCTGGATAAATAACGTGTAATTATTTAAAACATAACGAAATCCAGTAAATGGCTAAAGTATTCAGGCACAAGCTATTCGAAATGCAGCGTTCACATGCATTTTTCCTTGTGTCAAGAAAAATGACGCGTATACAATCACACAAAATGCGTCCTCAGCAAGCAGTTTCTGTGAGAGCCACATGACTAGATGTAATCTGATTGATATTGCTGATTCTGAATATGACAGCCAGGATTGCTCTTAGGCCTTTGGATTTATAGTTCCTGGACATTCAAAGGCCTAAAAGCAGTTCTGATTATCCTATTCGGACTCACGAGGTGATATTTCGCTTTTTGATGAAAATCTAGTGGATTATAGGTTATAGGTTATCGATCATGCTGATTGCGAATACAACCATGGGAGTTGCCCAATGCCCTTCAAAGATCCGGTCTTCTGGAAAACCAGTTTTTCAGAAAGTCTAGAAAATAACCCAAACTTTGCTTAACAATGCAGGATTGTAGCTTGCAAGTTTCTGATTAAAATGAGACATCCCCTAGCTTTACTTGACCTTTCTTTGCAAAATTATAGAATTTATAAGAAGAGCCCTAAATTGTTCATTGTTAGTTCAGAGCTACAGAAATAATTAATTTAGGGCTCTTCTTATAAATTCTATAACTTTGCAAAGAAAGCTCGTGTAGAGCTGAAAGATGTCTCATTTTAATCAGAAATATGCGAGCTACAATCCTGCATTGTTAAGAAAAGTTTGGGTTATTTTCTAGGCTTTCTGAAAAACTGGTTTTCCAGAAGACCGGATCTTTGAAGGGCATTGGGCAACTCCCATGGTCGTATTCGCAATCAGCATGGTCGATAATATATAACCTATAATCCGCCAGATTTCCATCAAAAAGCGAAATATCACCTCGTGAGGTTTCCTCCCCATCGATTATATGTACAATATTTCTAAGCGTAATTTTAATCTCTTATTTTCTTTCATATCGATTATCTTCTGGTGTAGATCCCTAACGGTTTACGATTTCTGTTCTTTGGGTGGGAAATGCTACTCAGTTCCCATTCCCCAACTAAGAACGTCCATAGAAACGAGGAGTGTCTCATCAGTTCTAGTTCTTTTGAATGCGAAACTGCCCATACTCTCCTTCTTAGTAGGGGTGTTAGTTTAGTTTTATTGTTCATTTATAATAATGGATAAATATAAATGAATCATTTACTTTTATAAAATAAAGATAAATTTTTTTTTCATTCATTTAGATTTATTTTTTAAAGTAACACTGAATTAACACCCCTACTTCTTAATGGGTTTGCTTGCTTTTTCAAACTGTTCGCTGTATGAATACATAATAAACTAATAGTGCACTAAGAAGTAGAGGTGTCACTTTACTGTTCTTTACCAAGTGGTAAGTAATAAAACGCGTTAGTTATTACCTGAAAACAAGTAATAAATCTTCTTACTTTATTACTTATACTTTTTTGAAATAATAATCTTTTATTACGTTACTTATTACTGATAAGAAGATGCTCCTCGTTCCTTAAACGTGAAATGTTGGAACGTCCTTAGTTCAGGAACTGAGAAGCAGTTCCCATTCAAAGAACAGAATTCATAAAGCGTCACAGGTCTATTCTGATCTATCTGCCTGTCTATCTGACTGATTGATGACTATATAATATAAATATACCATTATGTTTGATCAAAATAGAATTTTCTCTGCATAGTCACAAGCATAAGAAATTTCAAGTTATTTTTGAATGCGTACCAGTACATTCTTATAGATGGAGACTCTTCATTGGAAAGTAAAATTTCTAATGAGATGAACTCATATCGTTTCATCGCTTGACATAATGAAGGTTGATTAGTTGATTGCGTAGAACAAATAGAGCAAGAAAATAAAACAATATTTTCTTTTTTTCTAATTTTGTAGCAATAATATGGTAAGTGATCAGATGGATATGATATGTAATTCTATTAGAAATCTATCACGTTTATATTCCATGTATTCGGATGAACCAAATATTTTAAAATAAGATCTTAACTACCTTATGAGAGAGCTGAAAAAGTCGACTTTTTAGATG